ATGGAACACACGGAAAACTACTCAAACTTTAAGCTCCCAAAATACAAGAGCAAATAATGCTCTCATCCTCCAAGAGCTAAAAGAGACCACAATAGTTCTCTAAATCACCTACAAATAATAAGTCAGCTTCAGCAATTCAACTCTATTTTAAGAAACTGTTGCCTATCAAACATCATATATACTGATTAATTTATCTGCATACAGAGACAGTTGCTTTTTCATACAATGTAACATTTAGTAAATCACATGAAACCTGACCTACAAAAATCTTTAATGGGTAGAAAAACTTCTGCGTTAAGCCATTGTGCAGCAAGTACTATTTTAGTGACATGTCCACACAAGAGCCAAGGCAAAATTGCTCTGGAACACATCATTTACCCCATAGGAGTTATTAGCAAATACAGAATCGTCTACGTGTGCCGAGCTTACATTACAAGCATTACTAACTGCCATGCCCCCAAAGCTCTCTTGTTTTGCCTGAAAGAAACATTACTGTTTACTCCATACTGCTGTCTTCTCTGCCAAGTGAGGCGAAGAACCTGTAGTTTTAATGCACTGGCAGTCCCCTGTAATGATTTTAAAGCCTTAAACATCAAGCTTAAAATTACAATTAATTTATGTAAAAGCTAAAATTAAAAATAATATTAAAAATATAAGAAAATATGTAACATTACCAACTGCTAATTTATGCATTATGTTCATATGTAAATCAGAATCTCTCAGCTGTGAAAACTGGGTTACAGACATAAAGAATGCAATCATATTGGGACGGAGGGGGGTGATGCTTTACTGTGCTAGACCAGATGGCAGACTTGAAACTTAGCCGTAACCTCTAGATGCAGGACAGTAACAATGACTGTCCATGAATGGATCTTTTCATAATCAGACATAACTAGCTACATGAGTTTGATCAACACAGTTCTCTATTCTCTCCTCACTACTTTCTTCTCTAATTGCTTTAGCACAGCTCACTGAAAATAAAGACAATTTCTTGGTGGCAGAGGGATTGAAAGAAGGAAAAAGATAATACTAGTGGGTGGAGGGGAAAAGTTAGTCACATAGTCATAACTTCCTGTATTTTTAACTCATGCTATTCAAGTAAAGTATCTGACATGCAGAAACCAAGATTTAAAATGTATGCCATTCATTACACAACTAAAAATTAAGATGACAAAATGTAACCTACCAATTTAAGGAAGAATACTGTTCAAGCAAGGATTTGGAAAATAATATTGTGACAGAAAATTTCAATTTAGCAAATACTATGGGAAGTTGGGGAGGAAACTATTTTTTTTTACTTAGCAATGCTGAGAGGAAACTAAAGACAAGAAACCATAAGTGCAGACAGACAACACTTAGTACCATCAAGCGAAGATCTTGATATTACAAAGCAATAGCCTTTGAAAACATTAATGTTCATTGGGTCCAAAAAGATAGTTGTAAATTTTTATGAGAGGAAGAAAATTAATCAAATCATGATGACAGCTAATAAAACCATGATTTTAGACAACTCAGAGAATTCAAGTCAACTCTCCTGGAAGTGGCATAGAGACCAAAGATGGTCCAGGCCAATAGGACCACCAAAAGTTACCATCTGTCATTATGTTTATATACCTTCAGTCCCAGGAAGTTCATACAGCACAGACTGCTAGAAGGAAAAGGAAGACAATGACACTGAGGTGCCTGTCCTTTGCTCAGGCAAAGACTTAAATAATTCTTTACCACTAGTGGGTGTTTTCCTGCTCCCCCTTCCAGCCTCCAATTCTTGACTACAATCTCTCTACTGCACATTAGACCCCTCTGAGCCTATGCAATTCACCTAAATAACACAGAATGAGTCCCAGAATAAAAGTTTTAAATTTTGCTGTGTTAGGTACTACTATGTGCCAAAGCTGGGACAGAGAAGAAGTTGAGACAATGTAACTAAGAGCTTCTGGGAAGGAAGGAAGAGAAGAAAAGGATTTATTTTTGGTGGTTGTGGAATTGCAGCCTCATTTCATCATGTTTGCCATTAGTATCAGTTAGAAAGAATACTAGACTATTGATACCTTTAGTGGGCCACTGCATGCAGTTCTTTCACAGGATTTACCTACATTTCCACATCAGAGAGCTCTTAAATACACAGTAGAATTATTTATTAAGATAGAATACTGAATTTGATCACTGCAAAGTTTCATTTAATTTTTCAGACAAGTATTTCCTCCTATCAACACACTCTTCCATTTTGCTTAATTTTATTGGAATTACAAGAGGAAGAGCATAACATTAAGTTGTGGGAGAAAACATTACTTCATAAAGTACTTACACTGCCTGAAGAGGACAGAAAGGATTGGTCAAAAGGGCAGAGCTGCCAAGTCACCGATCATTTCAGCAAGAACCATAGCAGCAAAGAAAAATGTTAAAGGTCAGTGCAACAACAGACAATCCCAAGGAAGGCAGGTAAAAAGAAAAAAGATAACTTGAAGCACTATATGCGAATAACAAATCTCAAAACAGATCTGCTACAGCCATGAAGTAATACCCTCTCCCACTCTCTGTATAAAAACTCAGTTTTTTCCTACAGGGTCACTAGGTGTTCTTCAAAGGTTACTTCCTCAGAGGAATGTCTTTTATTAGAAACAGCACCATTGGCTCAGTTGTGTTGGTAGGAGGGTGGAATTCAGCCCTAACCGCACCCCATCTAAAAGGTGTTTTGGTTCACAACATGGCCATGAAGATTAATAAACCCTTAAACAATAGTGTTCAGACACTAGATGAAAAGGAAAGAAATTCAGTGATTCTATGAAAGAATTTGTGGGTTTCTGCCCATTTACAAAGTGAATTTCATTATAAAGTGAATTTCAAACACCATCACAGAAACTCTCACGAACTCCAAACAAATGTGATTTTCTCCTTTTCCATTCATCAGTAGTGACAGAAAAAAAAAAAGTTGCTACACAGTAAAGGTCCCATCTTGTAACATTTGTCATACTGAATAGCTGAACACCAATACCTGGGAAAAAATTTTCAGAGTTGAAAACCTTCCTCAGACTACTCAAATTGAACAGAACGGATA